AGCACTTATTAAATTTCATCTGAAAGAGAACTCCACTGGAGCATCATAAAAAAATTATTTTCCTTCCCAACAGTCATAACTATAACTAATAACTAAGCCCGTTTTCTTGTAGAATCTGAAGAAATCCAATTATTATTTGTAAAACTGGTTTTTTCCCCCAAATAAACAAACAGTGTATATTGTTTATCAACCAAGCAGAAAAAAACTCTTTTGAAAGCTAATATGATGATCACGTAAGAGATTTGGACTGGTGCCAGGACGACTGGGACACTTTGGTATTCAATCTCAGTTCTTTCATGAAAAAACAACGTAACTATTAAGTTAATTGACTCAATTTGTTATAATGACAAGCTTATTTCCAGATAGCCAAATATTTACAACCAAATTAAGTTTCTAACGCGTTTTTGAATTTTAGAAGATATGTTTTAATCTCGTGTTCTTTTCCCCAATGGAAGCAAGTTGATTGGTATTGTATGTATTTTGAGTTGCCAGTATAAACTTTCATGTTAATATTTAAAGAACTTAAGAAAAGAAGCGACGATAAAATTTAATGTTATAAAATTGTTTCCTTGCAATTAAATATATCTGCCACCAGGAAACATTAAGCATTTTTTGCTCCATTATATGAAGTTTTAAGTGGATAAAAATGATAATTTAGATACATAAAATACACACTATAACAAAAACATCAACACACCAAGAACTAGGTGCTCGATTGTAATGAAATTTCGTATGCAAAGACATTTGAAATGAACATGCAAATGATTAAAATTTGATGTCCAATGCATGGTTAGCGGGAGTTCCTGCATACCGGAGCTGCACACTCAGTAGGTGTATGTAAGGAGTAATTCTTAATTTGAGGATTAAAATTTTAGTCGCATTTTGACTACGATATCTTGCGTCGACTAACTATGCTTCGTCGATGGATCGTGCACATTACGAGCAGATGTCATAGCTTAAAAGAGGCTGGTTGAACGAATCGAATATATAATCTCTCATCTGGGTCGAAACAATGCGACGATTAGACAATGTTGTCAATAAATGTTTCAACAACGACAGATATCAACGGCCGAGGTCGGCCAATTGTCGCAACAGAGCGGGAAGCAAGAACGATTGTCAGAGAAGCTGTCAAAGCACCGGATTCGTCATCAGCTATCTACCGTGTGGCCAGCACACATATGTCCTACATAACACTCCGCATACTGGAATTTACGCACGTGCCAACCGTTGCGCCGCTTACCATTCACGCCTGTGCACCCTCATGTCCGATTGCAGTAGTGTCTTTCTCGATCTAAGTAGAATTGCGCTGAGTGAGGCCATATAGTCTTCTGTGACGAGTCCTGTTTCTAACTGTGTCCTGATGAGAACCACAAATGTGTTCGAAGACGTCCAGAGCAGTGTGGGGATCATACCCTGATAATCGCAAGCCACACAAGCCCATAACGGGGAGTTATGATCTGGGGTGCCATCTCTTTTGATAACCGGACCCCTTTGATAGCCATTATGGGCACACTGACAACACAGCGGGACTTTGGCAACATCTCAAGGCTGGTTGTATTGCCATTCTTTTTTGCAACACCTCGGACTTACTTTTTCGCACGATAATGCCCGGCTGCACCCGTCACGTGCTTACACTTCCTTGGCCAGTTCTCTCTCTCTCATAGAGCACATTCGGGACCTTATGGGAAGGCGATAACAACCATCCTAGAATGTTGATGATTTAGCGCAACAGTTGGAAATAATTTGTCACGAAATTCCGTAGAACACCATCCGGGAATTCTATCAGTCTATGCTACGCTGGATGATTGTTTTGCATCTAGGCCAGAGGTGAACCTCTTCTCTTTATAACAGTCAAATTCTGAAGTTATCATTCAGGTCTTCGGAAATTTTTAATCGCGTCTTTTTTATGTATGTGCTTCACATCCACCAATTTTTATCGCAATCGGAGAACTCCTGAACGGTGCATGGTTGTTTTAGAGTATATATATATATATATATATATATATATATATATATATATATATATATATATATATATATATATATATGTGTGTGTATATATATATATATATATATATACTCTAAAACAACCATGCAGGAAGTACACAAAAGCTTAAGTTTATGAGAATTCAAAGTAACTTAATTGAACTATTTCTTAAATTATGTACGTCGCCCATCCATTATGTTCGGTACCGGACGCTGACTGCGGTACCGTAAGACCTGGGTTCCAATCCCGGAGAAGGCATGGGTGTTTGTAAATTTATAGTACCTTTGCGGCATGAGGGTACTCTAAATAGCCGTCGAGCCGCAAGTCCTCTCGCGAGATTGGTGAACGGGGAAGAGAGGTGGGAGGCTTCTGACCACCTCCTAGGTGTTCCACCTCAAAATTAAGGTGGAACCGAGCAAAATTATACTGTCACCTGCATGGTGCTCAAAGCTAAAGCTACCGACATGCGTAAAAATCTAGCCCCTATTCGCGATGAATTTCGTGGACCTTGATCTGATGTTACTGTCGATCAGGTGGCATAAGTAACAACAAATTGTGTACTTTCTAGTTTAATTTTTAATTTTTTTTCATAATTATGATTCATTAAGTATGAATATTATTCCATTTACACAAAATTTGAGATTTCAATCCTTGTATTTTTTTTAGTTTGAGGCATTTTGTGTGCCTTTTTATTACTTAAATAGAAATTGAATTTAATTTGAACAATGAGTTATTTTAAGAAAACTTAAAAATTAAGATCATACGCGTAGATCTTTGCATTTTATAAGAGAATACATTTTTAAACTTGTGAAGTTTTACTATTTATCGTTTCAGCATTTCTAAACTGGTTTCCATAAATTTTGAAGTTTTACTAGAAAAAATTTGTATTTTAGGGGTTTATATTATAAAGTAAGGAAATAATGATAAAATACTATATATTAGTGAAGTAATTTTAAAATAATAAACTTAAAAAATGCATCAGATAACTAATGTGTTAGTAATTCGCAGTTCAAAATTGCTTGTATTTTGCAGAACTCTTTTTATATACTCGTAGTTAAAAGAGAAATTTTTCTGTCCGAAGAAAATTCTTCATGTACCAAATAATTTAGAGAAAATCAGCCAGGCAGATTGGAATTGCTTTGTTGTGTTTTAATGAGTTAAGGGGGTTCACCCATGTAATGGGTTCAAAAAATCAAAAAAATATTTTCTCCATAAATTGCTTCCTTGACATGTCCAGAATACGGCGGCAAAGTTATTTTTTAAAATTCAAAGTCGTTATAAAAAAGCAGGTGTTTAAAGAGCAGCTGTTCGGCGCTCTAAGTTAAGATTTTCACTGTTTTAATCGGACTTGAAACTTAAACATTTTTCTCAAAACTGTGTTTTCAAACTTTCCTTCATCCTCAAGAATGGTTTGACCGAATGACTTCAAATTTATAGGGTAGACTCAGCTCAAATATATGCATCAAATGAGCCATGATCATTCCAAAATTCAAAATATTTCTATTTTTTATAACAAAAACATAAAAAAACCCTGAAATCCGAAACTTTTTCTTCAGAAGTTTACCAAAAATCCAATTTTTGGTACTTTCAATTGAATTTAGTTCATTTGGTGCATTTAAGAGTATAAATTAAAACGCTGTTAATTTGTTTTCTTTCAGATAAGCCAATCAGCCGGAATCGTGGAGGAAGGGAGCATCCATTGTTTTCGAGGCGGGTGTGTTCAGAGCGCTATAACTCACACGTTGTATTGGATATTTATACACATACTTTTAAAACACATATAAATAAATGATAAGAAACATAAAGTTCTATAATCTTACTGGCCTTCAAAAAACATTTCCTAAAAATGCTTTAAAAACAGGCCGTCACATTGGTTAGCCTTAACATGCCGTCACAGGCCTTAAGTAATTCTTATATGAAATATAATTAATTATAACTGTTTAAGAGAGTATTTGTTTTTAGTATCCTTCAAGTAAATGCCTCACTTTACATATTCGTCAAAGAAAGTGCACAAATTTATAGTTTTGACTTAAAGGGTTCAAAATCAAAAGTTGAGAATACTTATTGCAGCTAAAACTTATTAAAAACAAACATATTTCAACAAAGTGTTCTAAAATTAAAAAGGATACTTATTTAGTGTACGTTTCTCAGGGATTTACTGTTCCTTTTTTAAATTAAAGAAAGTAAATCATGAATTTTTTATGTGTATTTTCTTAACATTTTTTCCTTTTTAAATCAGTACCTAAATATATAACTCATTCTTGGATGTTTAATGAAAGTTCTTGATTATCAAAACTTCTCTAAACTTATCTTCTCTAATTAATATCTACAACTTATAGTGACACTTATCCGGCATTCAAAATTATGCGTCAAATGCTAAGATCTCGAGAGATAAATTTCAATTTTTTAAACACAATTTTCCCCACTTCCGTCGAGTCTTTGACTATACAATCTTTATTCTGAGCTGCGATTTGAAATATTTATTGAGTTTAAAAGATGTGCCATAAACATGAACAAAAGCGTAATGTCTAGTTTTATCTTTTGCTTTAATATCATATTTGGATAACTAAATTGATTCGTAAAATGTTATTAATCGTGATTAAATGTTCCTCGGGAAAACTTGTCAACGTAACTGTCGAATAATATTGAAGTAATAATTAATCTCCAGAAACCAAATAAAAAGGGAGAAAGTAAGGGGCAAATAAAATTAATCAAACATTTATCTTTTTTCAATTCCTACTATTAGTTCATTATTATATATATATATATATATATATATATATATATATATATAAAATCTTGTTCAAATTTTCAATCGTGAATAAAATGCTTTCTATTCATCCATTCAAAATACATTTCAAATGCATTTTTTTAAAACTTGCAGTGGATGACACTTGATGTTAATAAAGTTTTTTACAATATTCATTCATTCGTTAAATTAAAAAATGAATAAAGAGTGACGAACAAAAATAATAGTGCAATAGCATATATAGAAAGGGTAATCGTCCGTTGTGTCCCTGTTGCGCAATGCATAGCGTGTTGGACTTCGAATTCAAAAGTCGTCGGTTCGAATTCCACCTGGGATGACCTAATTTCCGAGAATGTGACTTCTATTTACTATACTATTTTATTGGAATAATTAAATTTAATTAATGAATAAATAGTAATAAATAAAAATGTCCACCGCCCTATATAGGAAGGAAAATGGAGCATTGCAAGGAAAATCGCTTTTTTTTATCACTCAATATTGTGATTGTGTGTCATACACATATTTATATTAATTATAACTATTTAATAAAAAGTAACTAAAATAAAAATTTTCTTTTTGTGACCCAAGTAGGAATTAATTTTTTATGTTACTTGTTTATACTAATTTTTGAGATTCCTACTTTTCTCTTAATGAAAATTTTCAAAAAGTTTTGTTGAAGTCCTTTAATTATATCTTCTTGGCTCAATTTTTCACATTTTATTTTGTTTTTAAAGTGCTGTCTAACTGATTATTTATTTGATTAATTTAAAATAAAATCTGGAAGTCGAAATCTTAAAAAGGAATGAAGATTGGAATTTTCAACAATTGAGAGTTTGAATGGTTGAAGGGAAAACTGAGCAATATCCTGAGAGGCTGAGAGATTAAACCAATGAGAAACTGTGCAAATGAAAGAGATTGAGCAATTGAGAAGTGAGAGATATTGTGTGATGTATTACGTAGAAATATTACTTCTAACTAGGCTTAAATTGAGGGGGATTTTTTTGGTAAAGGTCAAACTGGGTGCATAGAGATGTCGTAACTATAAATAACAGAACTCATCTTGTTACAATGTACTGCGTATTTCGTCGCTAATCCAACAAAAGAAGCTTTATTGCCTTGGAGGGTGATGTTCAAGTCGAATCTTAGGCTCCGATCCTGATTCCAAGATCTTCTGTGACCGCTATAGCCAAGTGATTTTTTGGTGAATTTGATTTCACGTCCGGGTCACCAATGTCGAAGATTAGAACTCGGTACCTTCTGATTCGTAAGCACGTAACATACCACTAGACCAAAGTGATCCCCTCTGTCCGGAGGCTGTTACTGGCTTTTTAAGATACCGCCACAGATTATAGTCACAAACTTGTGGCCGCCGTGTCGTGGGTTCGAGTTCTGGTGCGACGAAATAACTGCCATGTAGAGGGGGGTGATTCACTTTAAATCTGCCGAGGCTCAAAGTCCTCGCGTTGGCACGGTACTTTGGAGAAGTAGTGTCAGCTCAGGTGTCGTCCTCGTCACTTGGCCGTGGTTTTCAATTACGAGATTTGTCGCCAGCAGCCCTCGTGTAGCATTATTGTGCATAGCTGTAAGTGTAAAGGCACTAACTGCTAAAACGTTCTGATTATTCGACCTCAATCAAAATTAACCCCTTGCCAGTGACAACCGAACTCAGTTCGGGCAACGCACAACATGTAATTTACCATCTTCCCAATAACTGGCGATACTTTCCCGCGAAAAGTTTGGCAGTTTAGCGCCTTTTATCGGATTTGTAATTTTGCAGTACCGTGCCGTTAAGGATTGAGGATATTCAAAGGAATCTCAGGTACATGATATTCATGTCAGTTCATGTAAATAATAGTATTGTTGTGTATTAGTTTGTTATATTTATCTTGAAAATTATGTCATTTGATTCAGTTTGCTATAATTTGAGCAAAAATTACTGTGATACATTAAAGTTCCCTAGGTATGGGAAAATATTTATAGTAGTTATATTTCATTTTTTTTTATGTAAAATATTCTATTTCTAACATTTTGAGGATACAATGAACAGAATTAAAGGAAATTCACCCCCTTTTTTTTGGTATGTTTTTCTTGAATATGTTCCGCACTAAGAGGTTAAGAGAGCCATAGTGAATAGCTATTACGATGTACTCTAATACGGAATTCTTAAAATAAAATAATACGCGAATAGTTTAATTTTGATTCAAAATTATGAAATGCATCGTCTATTTAGTTGCTGTGATTAACAGCACATTAATTAGAAACAAACAAGGTTAACCATTCTGCTTATGTAACTTTCTGAATAGAATGGAATTTAAAATAGTCATGAGATTCTGTGGTGGTGTGATATCTATGTAAACCAATAATAGCCTCCATGCGATGACGATCGTTTTGGCTTGGTGGCTAAGATAGTCCTTTTTCGGATCGGAAGGTACCCAGTTCTAATCTGTCCTTCATTTGCTGATCCTGGCCGTTCAAATAGAACCACAGCAGTCGTGGCACCATAATCGACCACAAATGCAACCAAGCCGTCAGACACATGTCGCAATTAAGCAATCACAAACAATGGCACAACCAAGCCATCAGGCACATAATGCAACCCACAAGCCGTCACATACGAGGACTCAACCTACAAAGCCGTCACGCACGAATGACGCAAACCACAAAGCCATCGTACTCAAAGTGACGCAACTGTTCACACGTTCGCCTCAAATATGGTATCGTTCATTCGCCTTTTAGCCGAATCACTGGCAAGAGGGTAGTGTGGCGATGTGATATCTATATGCACCAGTAATAACCTACATGCAATGACGATTGTTTTGGCATGGTGGCTAAGATACTCGTTTTCGGATCGAAAGGTACCCAGTTCTAATGTTCTTTCAGTTCTAATACGCCAAATCAACTCGTTATATGTATTTCTGCGATCGATTGCAGCAATAAATAAAATTATTTTAATAACCTTTCTCACGCAAAATCAAAACGCAAACAACCATAATACATTTGCCACGAAACGAATTAATATTTTAAATCGAAAATGAAACCATACATATTTTGTGCCAAACCAAACAAATTAAACATCAAAGGAGCCAAACGCTCTTTAGAATTAATATTTTACCGCCTGAGCTCGATTATTAATCTCTGAGGTTAAAATAATGAAGCACACGAAGTTTTAGCAATTACAATCAATCTTAATCAACAAGCAGGCAGGGTGGGGCTGCAATTAAATTCAAGGATAAGCCTTTTCCTGCCCCTTTCACCCGCGATGTTGAGTTCCCGATAAATTTTGCGTAGATCCCACCTAGCATTTCTTTTTTCATTTTGTTAAAATGTTATTAAATTTACTGTGTTCTAAGATTGCTGTGACATTTTATTTTCCTTGTCGTTTGATGGATCATTAGATCCTTTTTTCTCCCCTTTGACCTATTTTTTGGTAGTCTTGAACAAAAGGGAAGAGTGAGTAGCAAAACTTCGCGTAGGAGGAAAAGTGTTTGACAGTTTTAAGGAATACAAATTGTTTTTACTGAATGATAAATATTTGTCAAACAAGTGTAGGTTTCGTCTTTTACAATTTTAGATTATTTTTACTAAACGTAAAGAAATGGAGCTCACACACACACACACACACACACACACAAATTCCGGATAATGTCTAGAAAAAGAAAATCACATCAATGTAAGTTAACACAAAATCCGGCGTATAACGCACACTTTTAAACACAAACAAGAAATATAAAAAAAATTAAGTCCATTCTTACTTAGGTCAACAAAGAAATTTTTATTTTTTACTTTTTATTAAACAGTTATAATTAATATAAATATGTATATACATGTGACCAGTGGTGCACACAAGGGGGGGGGGTTCTAGGGGTCCGGACACCCTCCTAGCCCTTGATTTTTTCAATTGATTATAATCCTTCGTATATATTACGTAAAATTTAACTATGTATTTGTTATTAATAATTAATTTTATTAATTAATGCTAATTATTTATTCAATAATTAATTTTGTATTGTTCCCCCAAAATCAAAAGAGTATATTGGGTGGCGTATTGGAGTAAGTGTCATCTACTACAAGTATAAAAAAATTTATTTTGAACTTGAATGGATGAATAAAAAGTATTTTATTAACGATTGAAAATAAGATTATATATATATATATATATATATATATATATATATATATATATATATATATATATATATATAGGTAGAGAGTGAACTAATAGTAGGAATTAAAAAATAAGATCGAAATTTACGAATGTTCGTGTTGGCCGCGGTAGCCTAGTGGTCAAGGTAACAGACCCTTGGCCGGTGTGTAATGAATTCCAGCCAATAGTACCACTGAAGACCTGCCGTTCAGAGGGTGCCGATGCACTTAGAATATGTCGAGACTCAAACATCCCCCCGTTGGTGTGGTGTGGTAGCCAGGAGAGGGAATGTTAGCTTAGGTGTCGTCCTCGTCACTTGACCATGATTCAAAATTTTAGGTCCGTCACCAAAAGCCCTCAGTAGCTGAACAGTACGACGTTAATATTCACTCACTCGTTGGTATGGCATACTTGAATACTACAATACGAATCTGGGATATACCGAATTCTTAAATAATAAAATTTAAAAATAAGTAATATAATTATACATATAATTATATGTATACTATTATTATTAGCCTTATATAATAATTAATGATGTAATTATAATGTTAATAATAAAATAAAAATAATAAGAATCAGTTATTCTTTTTTATTTTATTAGTTTTTTATTTATAATTACTCATTATTTTTCACACAATATTTTTTGACTATACGCTCCAAACTCCCGTCAACGTGCTTAGAATTTTAGAATTTGGTTTTTTTTCTCGCCAATATGATTGTGATAGTACATAAGGATAGCCAAGGTCAACAATATAGTACTAATAATAAGCAAGAACTAAGTTTTGCATCAAGACTTCATTCAAGTTAAGAATTGAGGCTCCTATTTTTAGAAAGCGAGTAATACTGTGAAATTATTTTGGTCATTTTGAAAAGCCTGATAATATTAAATTATCCAAACTTTTAAAAAAAAGAAACTGATTCCAATGGGATTATTGTATATTCTCCATATTTTAGAGATTATTTTGTCCTTATTTATAGATTTAACAATCAGTCCGAATATCTCTATAATTTCACTGTAAGTCGATAACATGTATAAATGTAAAAGACACAATACTCATTTTTTTCTCAATTCAACGGAACTTTTCGATTTAAAATGCTTTTAAGCATTTCCCACGTAATGCAATTTGAGTTCATTGAATTAGTTAGAAATGGGATTTTTAGGATTTAGTTTTGAAAGTAACGCAACTTGA